ATACTATGTGCTGAATACTCAGTACATTTGTACGTTTCATCTGAAGCGATTTTGACGTCATTCCGTTTCCTGCATTACATTGGATAGGTGGATACTTTCCTTCGCGATAACCTTGACTGGATGGGGCGTGCGAGCAACTGGGCCAAGTTCACGGCAACAGCAAGCATTGGCGTGGTCCACCGCGGCCACATGAAGGAGAGCATGAGCCTCCTCCAGCCGTACTTGCCTCAAGGGGGAGTTAGTGCGCTTCCCTACAGCGAAGGCGGGGCTCTGTACGCCTTGGGGCTGATCCACTCCAACAAGGGAAGCGACGGCAATGCTCAGGTGTGTATTGAGTGGTGGTAAGTGGCGGAAACAATCGACAATGGGCACACGCCTGGCGGCGAGCAGCTTCCGTCTAATCTGTCGCTCGCGGTCTCGTCCGTCAGTAATTGGACTCTGACTCAGTTTGCCTTGGTCAATTCGTTGTTGCATCTCGTTGCTTGCCTCTGTGTTTTGATACATGGTGTGTTGATGACTCTTCGATTTTGGTGTACGTGGGTGCTCTCTCGGTTCCACTGTCCGGATCTTGACCAGGCAGGTTGATCAAGCATGAACGTTTAGAAACAAGAGGGTACGGCGAAGTTTGTATTATCGTAGGGTTTGAATGGGTGGGCCCTGACAATACACTAAGGCATGCGTTTTGGACAACCTGGTTGTATCAACACAGGTGATCACATACCTGCAAGAGGCCTTGCGCAACGCCGGCACAAACGAGACTGTGCAGCACGGGGCCTGTCTAGGGTTAGGCTTGGCGGCCATGGCCACTGGCGGGGCGGACCTATACGAGGACCTGAAGAATACCCTCTTCAAGGACAGCGCCAACGCTGGCGAGGCAGCCGCGTATGCTATCGGCCTCACTATGCTAGGCAAGGGTGGTACCACTCCCGAGTCGAGCACCGCGCTGGAGGAGATGATCGCCTACGCGCACGAGACGGCACACGAAAAAATCATTCGCGGTTTGGCCATGGGCATTGCTCTCACTCTCTACAGGTGAGGTTTAATTGTTGTCATTGCCAGGGGAAACTCTTTAATAAACAGGAAAAATGTGGCGCACGCGGCTAACCTTTTTTTGGGCATCTCCGTGCATCATGTGCGACATACGGTTCCAGCTTTCCCATACCTTGTTTGCAAGGAGATGAAAGTGTCGTATCCCGCTCAAGCAATAGGAACGTTTGTTTTTTGCCCAAAAATCCGACTCCTTTGCCCTTCCATTTACTACCCGCCCGCGTTGGTATCGATTTTTGTTCGTGCAGTCAAGAGGAGGCCGCTGAGGGAATGATCGAGCAGCTCTCGCGGGACCGGGACCCCATCTTGCGGTACGGTGCCATGTACGCCATCGGAATGGCGTACTGCGGGACTTCCAACAACAACGCTATCCGGCGGTTATTGCACGTAGCTGTTTCGGATGTCAGTGACGACGTACGCTTGGCGGCTGTGACTTGCCTAGGATTCGTCCTCTTCAGAACGCCAGAGCAGGTACGTTGTAAAAATATTATTGTGTCCCATACCCTTTCAATATACGGAGCAGTATCGTATGGAGAGTGTCCATTGGAACCAACGTGAACCGAAACGCGAAACGCAACCACGAGATGGATGCCCACATGCAGCGCTGCCGGCGAAGTAAGTGTCATTCGAAGAGGCGTCAGAACTTGTTGCTTCACAGTTACCCCAAATGTTCTGGCGAGCACGTCATCCGACATTTTGTCAGTCCCGTGGGTAGATATGAAAACGCCCTCAGTTTAAGGTTTGCGCAAAGTTTGTGTCCCCCGGAGCCCAGTTTCGACATCATCCCCCCCCCCCCCCCCCGGGGGTTGCCCTCCGGGGTGGGGTTTTCTCCCCTGGGAACCACCTTTTAAAAAAAGCCCCCCCCCCCGGGGTTTGCCCTCCGGGGTTGGGTTTTTCTCCCTTGGGCACCAACTTTTAAAAAAAACCCCCCCCTCCGGGTTTGCCCTCCGGATTGGGGTTTCGTCCCTTGGGAACCACCTTTTAAAAAAAACCAATTTACTTTC